AACTCTTCTGCAACCTGCTAAAACTATACCACAGATTTTAAAAACCCAATGAAATGGCCACCCAAATAAAAATATTCTCATGAGGTGCCTAAAAGAATATAGCAATGGCATCGGGCAAGCATCCCTCAGGAGAGCCTTACAGAAAAAAGTGCCACTGCCTTTCCCTTCATAATGCATTTTGCTTAACAAAGGCACTTGTTCTTCTGGCTTGAGTTGTGGCACACATGCCAAGAAGCTCGGTGCTCAGCAGTATCTTCATTTCTAGATTCCTACCCTAGAGTGGCACAGCGGATTAAACTGCTGAGCTGCTGGGCTGCTGATCGGAAGGTCAGCCGTTTGAATCTGCACGACGGGTGAGCATCCGCTGCTTTGTCCCAGCTCTTCCCCACCTAGCAATTTGAAAACATGCAAATATGAGTAGATAAATGGGTACCACCACTTTGGTGGGAAAGGTAACAGCATTCCGTGTGCATCAGTATTTAGTCATGCCGGCCACACGACCATGGAAGAGTCTTCAGACAACACTGGCTTACAAATGGAGATGAGCCCCAGTCCCAGAGTTAGACATGACTAACATTTATGTGCAAGGAAACCTTTACCGTACACCTGAGCACCAGGGCTGGCCCATGTCATTTTGTTGCCTGAGGCAAAGAACAAGATAACTCCCCTTCATGTTCCATGTGCAAGTAGTTGAATCTCTCTTCACCACTCGCACCGGAACAGTGTCTTCCACGGTACCTGAAGGCAGCAGGGTAACTGAGGGGTGCGGTCATGCAGCATGGTACATGATAGTCCTCTCCTCCCAGCTGCCTCCCCTTAGCATCTGCTGCCTGAAGCAGTAGCCTCATTCTGCCTCATGAGAAAGCTGCCCCTGCTGGACATTATGCCCCCCAAGCTGAGAGGCTGCTGTCCTAAATGTTGCCTAAAACACAGGACTGCCCCCAAAGAGGTGGCTCTGTTTTCGGTTTCCCCCTCCTTCTCCCTGAATTCTAGTGCTTTGTTTCCTGATGATGTTACATTGTCTTTTTCCAAATTTACTCTAGAAGAAGCCAGTGATTTGGAGGGGGGAAAGAAACCCCTAATGGAATGACACCACAGGTTTGGAATGACTTTATTTTATGGATGGAAACCCCAGTGTCACCTATCGGACTTAGTTCATCTGCAGGTGTGATGAAGCAGTTTATAAATTCCTCAGTGGGCAGGACTCTGCAGATGAGCACAGTTCCTCTCATTTTTATTTCTTTTATTACAGTTCTGAAAAATAGATTGTTTCATGATTGGCCCAGGCTCAGATAAAGCCCTCTAGTTTAGCTAGAATGCTAATAACCTGGTTTGCTGTTTATGGTATCCAAAACTGATGATGATGAGGGAAATAATACAACTTCAGGGGACTAGGTATATAAAGTATTTGCTTCCCTCTGCTTTTTTCTTTCTTTCTTATTCTTTAGCTGTTAGTTTTATTGAAGATTTTGTTCTGAAGCTCAAAGCTAAGTGCTCTTGATGTTTGTTTACAGATGTTATAATTAAAGAGAAACTGGAGATTTATAGTATTCGTGACAAACGCTTGGTAAAATGGTAAACTAAGAACATTGGCAAAGGGATATTTATCGAGTCCTTCCTCAGTTGCAATCCTGTAACTACTAACCTAAGAATCAATCTAATTGAACTGAGTGGGACTTCCTGTCAGACTCTGGGTGCTCTGGGCTTCACCTGATGGTCAGAACCAGATCTCCTGTGTTATTTGCAGGAACAGTCCCAGGCCCAGCTGGAGCCTCAGACTCTTAATGGGTGACAGCTGGGAACCCTGGCAGAAGAGCTGTGTAAGAGCAAGCTCTTTCTTCCAGAACTTGCCTCAGCAGTAAAGGTCTTCCTGTTTGTTGTCGTGCCTAGATATTGCCTGACCCAGCTCCTGCCTTGCTGTCTTACCTCAGCAGTCTTGCTAGCTGTGGGGTGGTTTGTTTGTTTGTTTGTTTATTTATTAAAACATTTTTATGCCGCCCCATTCGCCGAAGCCTCGGGGTGGCTTACAACGTTAAGTTTAAAAAATAATTATAACATTAAATTATTGGTTGAGTTGTGCACCTTGCCTGACCCTTGCTGCAGCTGGACCCTTGCCGAGTGTGCTGCCTTGCTAGGTGGCCTTAGCAATGCACATTTTCCTGCTGGCTCTGGTTCAGTTTGTGTATCCTGCCTTGCTGTGTATCCTGCCCAGTTATCCTGCCTTGAGGTACCGACCTACATCTCCATTTGCATTCTTGGTTCTCAGTCTTTGATTTGTTCATACTTCCAGTGCCTGAATTTGTCCTGATGCCTCTGTCTTGTCTCCTGCCACCCATGTCCCAGGACCTGACACTTCCTTCTGAATGGACATTTCATTTTCTTTGCATTTCGTTTATTACATTTGTATGCTGCCCCATAGCCCATGTGTTGGGACTGTCCTGTGAATGGCTTGCACTAGGCCTGCCATCACAGGGTATTATTAAAACACACATGCCGTCTCCTGCTGTGGATTTTATTTAGCAGTTTTTGAGATACATTACCCCAGGAGTGTATGATATAAAATCAAGCAACTGAAAATATGATAAAAGCAGAGACAATCAATAAACAACAGCAAAATCAGCAAAATCTGAGTTCAACAGAACCAGCTTTCAAAAGCACAACAGATCTTAAACTGCTTCTGGAAGCATGACAAATAAGGAGCAGTATAAGCCTGTTATGTTCTGTGACTACTGGAGAAAAATCTTAGCAGCTCATGTAGTCAGTGGTGGTGTGCAAGGAAATATTAACAACTGTATATTGGGGATTACATGAGTGGAGCCGGCTGGAGCTGGGGATCAGACTAGATGGCCTGGGGGGGTCCCTTCTGACTCGCTTTGTTTCTATGTAGGCCAGTCTCATCACTGGTTTATGTTCAAGGTTGACACCTTGAGCATAATAAAACTTCCAGAACCTTTATTAGTAATACCTCTATTGGGCTGAACCAAATATCATTACAGATATGCAAGCTTAATTAGGCAAAATGTTATTAAAAGCAGTTTTGATGGGTGAGGGGAGGAACAGGGAACCAAAAGCCCTGACCTGTTGCTGGGGTCACAATGTGCATGTGAACTGGGGAAAGGGGAGAATGTCTAATGGGATTCCAGTTAGGTTCCGCTGGTCATCTGACAGTTACAGGGCTGGCCTTTCAGGTGCACATAAGGTTGCTGGGACCAAGAAAGGTAGAAGATGTTTAAGCCTTCATCTTGGAAATATAAAATTAAATTGCTGCTCAGATGTGTTTTTGTACTGGGCAAAGCACACAGGCTTCTGTGTGAACAATGATTCTATGAACAATGCTGCTAAAATCTGCTGAGAGGTCTGGGAGAATGAACAGGATTGTGCATCCCCATCTTTATTCCAGTGTAAGACATTCAGTGGAAATCAAGGCTGTTTCTTTCCCCAAAACTGATTGCCAACCAGACTGGAATAAATTGGACAGAAGTTTTCCTGCCTCGAAAGTGCAGGCTTAGTGGGTATTTTGATTTTTTTTAAATGCATGAAGATGTACAGAAGTTTCCATTCAAGCCTGAAACAAGTTTTCTATTTTCCACATTTCCAGTTGTGTTCACAATAATTGTCCTCATTTGGCTAAGTCAGATCTGTTTCTTACTGAATGGTGCTTGGCAGGAAATGTACCATTTACAGGATCAAATATACTATAAGGAATTATTTTAAATTTAAGATGTGATATGGTCCAGATTTTCAGATTTTCCAGCAGATTTTTTTGATGCAATCATATCAAAAAGTTTATACCTCTCAGCTATGCTGGCTGGGACATGTTGGGAGTTGTAGGTATTTTTTCTGTCTAAATTTGCATAGGAACACACTTTTAAAGTCTTATTGTTGGAAAAGGATTACCATGGCTCAAGAAAAGGAATGTTAATGGAAATGTCTTTCTGTTGGGTAAAACCGTGTGAGCTATATTAAAGATCAAGGATTTGCATTGTCATTGTGCTCTTGAAGCTCAGTTATTTACCTACTGTATCAATTTTATATAATGTGTATGCATGTGAGTTTGATGTATACTTTCAAACTGCCTTAATGTTAGGGACATCTTACAGTAGTCTTACCACCAAACTTTATGATTAAGTAGATACTCAATTAGAAGTACCTATCTGAATACCTAGTGTAAGACGTTCTTGCAAAAGTTGTAGCTATGACGTCCTTATTATAGCATGTTGTCTTTATTCAGATGTCTATTCTGATCAGCCCTAAAGATAATGTGCTAAAAGTATAAGCACAAATACACAATTAAAATGTACCACTGTGCCACCAAATGCTAACTTAGATATATTACTTTAAAGCATTTGCAGAAACTCCAGTCCTGTATCCAGTTAAGCACTGCTGGCTGTAAGTTCTGTTGAATTTAACAACAGGCATAGGATTAGGAACTGTTTTGCCTTTGACAGTTAGGTGGTATAGAATTAAAATAAATAATAATACTGTTAGGCTCATTTTTGGGAAGTCTCTGTGGGAAGAACATTGTACTTATTCTATAGGTGTGGATAATCCAGGGAACCTTTATACTATAATCCTCAAAGTCATAATCATTTTAAAATTTATAATCAAATTTTATTCAGATAAAACATGATGTTCTGATATCTGAATCATGATGTTCTGGATCAAATGGAGAATTAATTATTATGGGAGGGGGAGATGAACAGTGAGGACCCCATTGACCCTTTGATGAACAGGGTTCTGAGAAGGGCTTAATACCTTGATTAACAGTTGTTTCCACTAGGGGGAACTGCTTTCTGTAAATTGGTGCAAGCCACTGCTTCTCTGCTCTAGTAAACTTAACTGCTTGTCTCATTTCCCAGAATGCTGGTTTACAGCCCCAGTCCAATTAAAGTGATTTCTAACATGGTGCATATTGCAGGAATTTGTTACAGGAAAGATTCCTTTGCTGTTATTCCTCCTTATTCCTATGATCAACACCTGATCTGAGGTGTTCCTGGTCTGAGGCTTCCAAGGAGATTAGAGGTAAGAATTACAACAGTAATAACCTTGTCAATACATTAATAGTAACTACTAACCACTCCTTGTCATGGTTAGATTAGCACCTTCATTCAGATACTCATACATCCATTTTGGGTATCTTCTAAATACCAGCATTCCTTTAGAAATAATGCAATCTGGAAACTTTGGATTTGAGCTTGTTAGTTGCTTTTTAACTGCAAAACTTAGGAGCTGTTTATCTCAAAACATGAAAATTATATCTGATGGACCTCATTACTGCATCCCCACCCAAAAACAGACTACGGTCATGTTCCTGCCACTTAAAATTCCTTAACCTAGTATTTTTGTTCTCAGTAAGGTGAGTAAGGGGAGGCATGATAGAGGTGCTTTCAAATGGTGTGGAGAAAGTGGAGAGAGAGACATTCCCCCCCCCCCCATAACACTCGAACCTGGGGTTGTCTCATGAAGCTGATTGGTGGGAGGTTTAGGACAGACAAAAGGAAGCACTTTTTCACACCACGTATAAAGTTGAACTATGGAATCTACTGCCACAGGAAGTGGTGATGGTCTCCAGTTTGGATGGCTTTAAAAGGAGACTGGACAGATTCACAGAAAGGGAGGCTCTCAGTGGCTACTAGCCTTGGTGGCCGAGTGCTGCCTTCTTCCCCAAAGGGGGCCTGCCTGCATGCACCAGTTGCTGAGAAGCTTGGGCAGGTGGTCTTGCACCCCTCCTGCTTGAGGAATCCTGTGGGCAGCTGGTTTGCCACTCTATCTAGTCCATGGAGTGCTGTGAACCCTTGGTCTAATCCAGCATGGCTCTTCTTGTGGTCTTGGAAACTGGGCACGTGTCATGGCAGAGGACAGAATTGTTTACAGCATGTCGTCTCTACCCCGTTCCCCAACCAGCTTGCTGGTTCAGCAAATAGTCAGAAAAAGTTGGCAGCAGTGTGCGCACTGAGGAATGGTCCTTGCCTGAGTGGTTTGCAACTTCTTGCAAACAAACTGAGCTGCAAGGCAGAGTGGCAAATGAACAACCACTCCTTGCATGCAGGAGCAGAGTTCACTGTTCAATCGTGGTGATTTAGTTGTGAAATTGGAACAGGCAACTATCCCGAGGCTTTTAAAATGCATTAAAATTTGTCAAGGTTAGTGGTACAATCATGTTGAAGATGTACCAGTAAAAAAAAAAAATTTCTCTCCCTCTGGCTTTTTTCCCCACCCCTTTCTGTATTCCCCCAACCAAGGCTCCACCCAAAGTTAGAATACTGTTTTTTCTTTTTATTGAGCCACTGATTTGTTGTTGTATAAAATACCATATTTTTCGCTCTATAAGACGCACCTGACCATAAGATGCACCTAGTTTTTAGAGGAAAACAAGAAAAAAAATATTCTGAATCAAATGGTTTACTGAACTATTTAATAAACTATAACAGAATACAGTAATACCGTATTTCAACCTTGTAATGTGAACAGCAGTCAACAGTGGCATTAAGAACCATCATCACTGTCATTAACAAAAGAGAGACTTTAAAGTTCGAGTACTCATCTAGTTTTCGTTGAACCCACAGAACTCATCATCACTAGAGTCAGAATTTATGAAGCTCTGTTGCTCACAATCACTGACATCACTTTCTTAGTTAGTGGTGGAATTATTGAAGGAATCCACAATCTACACCAGTTATACAAGAGCTGCTGCAGACAATGCAATAACAAATCTAAAAAAGCCAGTAATGTCCACGCTGCCCTACTAGTAAATAATAGAAAAAAAACTTCTGCCAAAAAATGAGATATTATACGGTAAATCAAACACACAGCGGACTAAGTAGCCTTTGAAGAATAAACTTGATACATGAAGGTAATGCTGTTCAAATATCCACTGATCCTAAAAAAAAAAAAAAAATGTGTCTGATCAACCAACAGATAACTGATCCATGGAAAGCTTCCTGATAATCACAGGCACATTCCCCATCTCTTCCCCATGGACTTCATTAAAAGACGGGTTGCCATTTGAAAACACACACTGACCTGTGATTAACAGCTCTCACCTGCGCCGGAGGAGGGGGACGGAGCAGGGCACGCCGAGCGCGTGCTGGCCAGGTGGTGCCACGTGGTGCAGGCGGCCAGCAGCGTCCCGGGCGTCGGGCACACAAACATTCGCTCTATAAGACGCACAGACATTTCCCCTTAGTTTTGAGGGGGGGAAAGTGTGTCTTATAGAGCGAAAAATACAGTACATCTGATGGATAGTTGTGCTGGAGTGAATGCAGAGACTTGAAGCAATCTAGGGAAGTGCAGTTTTTGTTGTCGCTGATAGAAAAGTGGGGAAAAGTAGGTCCAGTTCTTCCATTAGGCCTAGTGAATTACTTGCTGTAGGAGGTGGCAGTGGTAGCCCTTTCTTGCCGTTTCTTAACATTGATTCAATTTATGTCCTTCCTTTCTGTTAAAAATGGCATTCAAGGCAGTTCTCACCAAGCTAGCCTGCTGCTTTTAGATTTGGTCTAGTGCAGGGGTCTCAAACTCGCGGCCCGCAGGCCAATTGCTGGGACGGGCGGAGCACGAGGAAGGGGCCCTGCGGCCTTCAAAGCACCGGCGGCACCTGGGCCGGCCTCCGGATGAGCAGCCCACCACCACCGCGGTGGTGGACTGCTTGATGCGGCCCAGCCTCACCCAGACTCTACTTCCAGCGGCCCCCAGGTAAGTTGAGTTTGAGACCCCTGTTCTAGTGGAAGATCCTGTAGCAAGACCAATACTGAACTAAGATTCAGTGGGGTGATCAGATTCTGTATAGGTAATGCAGGTGTTGTATCCTTAGCTTTCAGGCAGCAAAATGCCTTGGGCCAGTCCCAGGGCAGGCATCAATTGAGCATGCTCAGTCCAACTAGTACTTTTCTTCCCTCGAAGCCTTTTTCTTTAAAATTAATTCTTTGAAGGATTCTTCCCATCTGTGTGTGGAAAAGGTTTATGTTTGGTTCTCTTTCAATGGATGATTTGATCCTAGCACCTTTTAAAAGTAATGTGTTTTTTTAGTTTGCATCCCTCCTTCATACCAGAAAGTAACACTCAGGATAGCTTGTTTGTAACATTTAAGCCCAAACTTTTACAAATTGAAATTTAGAGCCCTGCCTTTTCTTGAAGTTTAAGGCAAAGAAAAAATGTGCTTATCTCAACTGTCAGTAAAGGAAGGAATTGAAAAGCTTGTGACAGGTCAACCCTGAAAAATTGTTTCCAGTAATTGAACAGAGAAGTTGAAAATGTGAAATACAAACAGTGTCTCTGAGCACATGCAGAATTCAGGCAAAAATGACATGCAGAGAAAGCATTACAGAAAAAATTCTGAGTAAAGAATTGGATAGGCTCAGGCTGGTCAAATGATTTCTCGTGGGTAAATTCAACAAGGTAGACATACATTAAACTCGTAGATAGTCTGTTCCTTATGGTGAATACTTAAGTGTGGCCCTATCTCTTTTTCTTTTGCTTGTTTGATGGGGAGCATGTTTTCAACCCTACTCAAAGAGGACACATTAATTTGGATTATGTGTGTTCTAGCTATTGATCTGAAGTAGACTATTCCTTTAAAAACCAGTCTGTGCTGTCTGACAGGGTACGGTGCACCTTGACTTGAAGAAGGAGGCACCTTTGGACGGGGGGTTAGTCTTTTCATAGGATCATAGAAGTGTAGCATTGGAAGTGTGGTGTAGTGGTTAAGAGCATGGGACTGGGACTCAGACGATCTGGGTTCTAGTCCCCGCTCAACCATGGAGCCAACTGGGTGACTTTGGGCCAGTCACAGACTCTCAGCCCAACCTACCTCACAGGGTTGTTGTTGTGGGGATAAGATGGAGGAGGAGATGTAAGCTGCCTTGAGCCCTTTGTAGGAAAAAGGCAGGATATAAATTGGAAAATAAATAAATAAAAATAAAATAAAAGTGGCTAGAATGCCAACAGGTCCAACCCCCGCTATTGCAGGACACTAAGCTACACCATCCCACTCAGATGACTGTCCAGAGGCTTTTTGGATGTCTCTAGTGAGGGAGAGCCCACAACTTCCCCAGGTAATGGGTTACATTGTCGTATTGCTCTGACTGAGAAAATTCTTCCTGGTGTCCAGTCTAAATATGTTTTTTTTAAACTTAAGTCCTTTATTCCATGCCCTGCACTCTGCAATGAATGAGATCTTGTCCTTCCTCTTTGTGACAGCCTTTCCGATACTTGTAGAGTATATCACCCCTCAGTCTTCTTTTCTTGAGGCTAAACATGGCCAGTTCTCTCGATCTTTCACACAGGACTTTTACTTTCTTTCAGTGCATTTTCTTTTTCTTGTAACCTTGTAAGTCTGAAGACATTTGTAGCACTGTTTGCTTGATATAGTGAAGAGCTTCATGTGCGTGGAACTCAACTCAGTATGTTTGCTAATCTGCTAATCTGCATGCTTGCCCTTACCTTTAATTCTTCTATCCTTACTACAGTTAGGCGTGGATAATGAAAATAGAGACACGGCTTAGGAGACAGATCGCAAAACTGAATTAACCCAATATCTATGGAAGGAGTAGGGTTGATTTGTTCTCATGCCAAAAGCAAGGAAGGAAACACATCACATCAGAAACAGCTTTAGCAGATGTTATTATTTCTTTACCCTCAAAACACACCCAACTCATGAGGGCAAGTTCTCGCTCACCCCTCATCAAATTGCTCCCAGTGTAAATTACTAGGCTATGTGAACATGAAGGAATTCAATTGAAACTGAAAAAAATCAATTGAATTTAAAACCTCATAATGAAAGACAAACTGTCTAATTTCTAAGTGTATTCAGATATTTAATTTATTTAATTTCTATGCCACTTGTTTGTCAGGATGACTCTCTAGGTGGTTTACATAATTAAAATGCACAAATAAAAAATAATACATTAAAGTCAAAGATAAATAATACAGCAATATAAAAGCAATGCTAAAATAACAACCATTGTCCTTGTAGTTTTAAATTCATTTGTGTTGGTAAATGCTATATTGTAGCACTGCATTTAAAA